GAACTCACACACACTTCTGTTGGGGAATGTAAAATATTGTAATTACTTTGGAAAACAGTTTGTCAGTTAACATTGAATGTTTTTTTGAGAAGGAGATGACAAGATTAGAAAGGACTCAATAGTCCATTCTTACACAGGATCTTTTTTTCTTATAAATACTCCTTTTATTACTAATTCGTAGTTGATAATTCCTCACAGTTATACAATATTCTGTTTGGTATAGTGGGAAATGTATGGGCCATTGTGTCACACATAGATTCTAATCTTGAACACTTATTAGCTATATGACCTCAGGTAAGTCATTTCTGTTTAACAACGTACTAATCAGTTTTGCATTACCCTAAGAGGATATCTTAGACAATCTTATTTTATAAAGAAAAGAATTTTAAATGCTTACAGTTCTAGAGGTTGAAAGTCCCATATTGGGCTGCCCCATTGTGTTAGCCTCTGGTGAGGGCCTAAGGTGGATGGCATTACAGCAGCAGGTGTGTATGTGGGAAGAAGAGATAACATCTTGAAAAAAGAAGAAAGTGACTTGAGTTCTACAATCTTTTCCCAAGGGCATGATCCCAATTGACCTATGGAGCTCCCCTTAGGCTCTACCTTTTAAGGGTTCAACACCGCCTACCAATTTCACTACCTTGGGAATTTCACTTCTAAAACATGAACTCTTGAAGGACACACTCAAACTATATCCAAACTATGGCATTTTAGCTCTGGTCCCCAAGGATCATGTTCATCTCACAATGAAAAATGCATTTATTCTATTCTCAGTAGTCCCAAAGTTTTAAAACAACCATAGTTGGGTTTTTTTTGGTTTTTGTTTTTGTTTTTGTTTTTGTTTTTTTTTTGAGACTCAAGGAAACTCTCAGCTATGAGCCCCCATGAAAAAACAAAAACAAAAACAAGTTACATACTTCCAAGATACAATGGCAAGATAGGAATGGGATAAATATTTCAGTTACAAAAGGGATAAATAGGAATGTAAAAAGGAGTAATTGGCCCAAAGCAATAATGAAAACCATCATGGCAGATAATTAATTAAACCTTCAGGTCTGGCACATTGTACACATTATGGTGAGGGTTGAACACTCAAGACTTGGGTAGCATTGCCCCTACAGCTTTCCTATTAACAAGTCTGGTTATTCTTTTGAGCTAGTTTTGCACAATGCTTAGCTTTCCCTGGCAGGCATTGAATATTACTATTTTCTCTACCATTCTAAGGTCCTCACTGAGCTCCATTAGGCATTGCCTCATTGGGTCTCTCTGCTGGGAATCTGACCCCACATTAAACTTCTGTCTGGGCTCCCAGGTGTTTCCTTTAAAATTTCACTGTATGCCATCAGAATACTCTTGCATTCTGTGTACAGGAAAAAACAGCTCCACATGGACACCAAGTCTGTGAATGGTGCAAACTGTCCCTGGACCTACTTGAGCAACTGCTGCAGCTATAGAGTTCTTTACTGGCAGAATGCAGGAAACAAATCCCAAGCAAACGGAGAGTACTCTGGGATTGGTCCCTGTAATAATTCTGCCCTGGAAGATTCCTGGGCCTGTGATATTAGGAGTAGATTCAAAGATTTCTGAGATGCCCTCAAAATCTTTTTCCAATTGTCCTATTAGCATTCCTGATCATCTTTTTGTATATTTATTTTTATATTGTTTTATTTTTTTTGAGTTGCTGGGGATCAAACCCAGGGCCTTGTACATGCTGGGCAAGTGCTATGGCTTTGAGCCACATCCTTAGCCTCCCTGCTAATCCTTTCAGCAAGTGGTTGCTCAGGTGCACCTTCCCCTCCCAAATACACTTTTCCACCTGGTTCCAAATCTTTCCATTCTGTTTGATTTTTCACCCAAGTCTAACTGTAAATCTCATTAAAAGTGGTCAATAATACTCAGGCTGCATTCTGATTGCTTTGTTATTTTGAAATTTCTTCTGCCAAATAAACTAGTCCATCACTCTTAATTTTGGCCCTCCACAAAATCTTAGGGCATGAACACAATGCATCCAGGTTCTTTGTCAGAGTGTAACAAAAATGGCCTTTCCAATTTCCAACAGAGTTTCCATTTCTATCTAGGTCTAGATCTCTAGTCACTCATCTTCTGTGCTCTCACCAGAATTGTGCTGTTTTCTTGCCTGCTTCACCAAGCTCTTCGAACCTCTATCTGGAACCCAATTTCAAAGCTGCTTCCAACATTCATAGTATAGTTATACAAACAACTCCACTCCTCAGTACTAGTTTTCTGTATTAGTCTGTTTTTCATTACCATAATAAAATACCAGAAGTGGGCTTGTGTAGCTCATAAAATCTAGAGAATCTAGAAATTCAAAGTCTTGTGCTGGCATCAACTCATCTCTGGTGAGGATCTCATGGCAGATGGCAGGAGCACATGGAAGAGAGAGAAGAGACATCACCAAACAGGAAACCAGAGTGAAGTTCAGGGGGTAGGTTCACTCCTGTTAACAACACGCTATCTTGATAATGACTTTTATCTTTTCCAAGGGCAGAGCCCTCAATGACCTAAGGATCTTCCACTGGAGCCTGTCTCTTAAAGGTCCATATCAACTTCTAACCTCACCACACCAGTACCAAGCTTCCAACACATGAATACTTGGGGGATACATTCAAACCATATCTCAACTATAGCAAATAATTATTCATTCATAGGAAAATATCCAAGTGCTTTTTATGTGGAAAACACTGTGCTAGGGATACAAAGGTGAACACAACAGAAATGATATCACCTTACACATTACAGAGGTGGAGTCAGTGGTAAACAATTATAATAATTACTGTATTTAAATACTATATTTTCATTGTTATTTGTATAACATTGTCAAAGGAGCATAGGTTTTTGTGAAAATAAAGAGTAGGACAGTTCAGGGAAACTAAGTCAATCTGGTTCAGGTTTGCTAGGTGCATAAGAACTGGCATGGCAGGGCTGGGATTGTGGCTCATGGCAGAGTATTCGCCTACCAAGTGCGAGGCCCTGGGTTCGATCCTCAGCACCACACAGAAATAAATAAATAAAGGAATTATGTCCAACTAGAACTAAAAAATAAATATAAAAAAAACTGACTTGGCAATGGGAGGCTGGAGACTCTCAGGAAAAACGAAAAGTAAAAGGTTAGGCCTTGAGACTCCAGAGGCTGGGTGCATTTGACAAAGGAAGGGAAAGCCAAATGGAGATGCGTAAACATCACTGGAATGTCTATATGGAGAATGGATTATATGCGTGTGGTGGATGGGGAAATAAGAGTGGGGACTTGGGTTAGGAAGTAATTAGGGACTTGGGTTAGGCTACTAGTAGTATGGAAAAGAGATATTAGTGACCTGGGAAATGGTGGTGGCAGTAGAGAGAGTGGATAGATTTAAGATTCATACATGAGAGGTGGGGCAGACAGGACTTTGGTAAGAGACACAAAAGTGTTCATAAAAATTCCAAGGATTCTGTATAAGTGACTAACAGGTGGATTCAGTGACACTACTATGATGATAAATTCTGAATAGGCACAAATTTGGTAACATGAACATTTAAGTGGAAGAACATCTCCAAGTGGAGATGATAAGCAGGCAGTATACTGAGGCTATAGCTGGAACAGCACAGAGATTTGCAACCGAGAGCCAAAGCCTACACACAGTAAGATGACCAGTAAGATGGAAAGGCCTAGTCTGAGGCAGCAATGGCAAATCTCTTTTCTTGGTTGAGTCTCAGTAGTCTCAAACCCAAAATAGTTTTAGTATCTGGTTTATATTGGGAAGTGCTGATAGTATAACAACAATGTCATACTAAAGCTAACACTTTTTTCTTTCATTTTTAAAAACTATTTTAGAGTGAGTACTATATAAAAGGATTTCAAACAGGAGATAATGAAGAATGAGGACCAGACAAAAAGATGGAGAGTGTGGAACACCACAAAAGAATGTCTTCTTTGAGGTATATGAAAACGTGCTTTTAAAGCAGACTAAACTCCATTTCTGCATATTTTTAAAAATATAACTTTTTAAATTTTTATTCATTCTTTTTAGATATACATGATAATACAGTGTATTTTGACATACATATCATATTTTGACATACTCTACATACATACTTGTAATTAGGATCCCATTCTTGTGGTTGTGCATGATGTGAAGTTTCACTGGTGGCATATTCACATATGAACATAGGGAAGTTTTCATTTGAGAATACAACTTTCTAAGAATCCTTTCCGCCTCCCTAGGCAGACACTTTCTCAATTTTTAAAAATTATCAATTTAGTTTTTTTCTACAACGAATAACTTCTTTACAGAATCTTCCTACTCAGACTTTAAAACCTAATTTTGTTTTTACTCAGTCCCAGGCCTCCTTCCCATTGTGTTTAGTTTCAAGACTATTTCTGAAAGTGTTGAGACACAAGTATATTCACTTCTAGAGTGATTCCTGGAACAGCATCTGGGAACTTGTTAGAAATATACAAGTTCTATGACCATATGTCAGACCTACAGAACTCGGGAAATCCAGCGGTCCGTGTTTTAACAAGTCTCTTTGATTTCGAAGTCTCATAAATTTAAGATTCTCTACTCTTTAATATTTGGAAGTTGTTTCTTTCCCTCCCAATATATCGGGAAATAACACCCCTCCTTTCTCCAATACACTAACAGCTACAGCTGCTCCTTAAGAATGATTATTCAAGGCACAACTTACTTTGGGTTTTCATTTTATTTTTACTCAAGGTCAGTTTTGGCCAGACAACACAATTCGTAAGACAACACTGCAGGATCCTGTCTTGAAGCTCTCTTGGGGAGGAAGTTGGAGCGGCAGCGCAGCAAACGCTTCCCCCACCCGAAATAAAGTACCCTTGCCGGACGCCCAGTAGCTCCCCGGAAAGCGCCGGGACGCAAGGAAGCCCCGCCCTGCGCTCGAACGCCCACCAATCGCAGCGCGCAGTGAGGCGTGCCGACTGGGAACCTGCGCGCGCGCCTTCCGGGGGGGGGGGGCGATACAAGCGAGAGGAGGGAGGCGGCGCGCGTAGAGATGCCTCGCGGCGGCCGCCCTCGCAGTCACAAGGTGCGCGGTGGGGCGGGAGTTGAGACCTTGCGGTTTCCCGTGTAGCTAGGGTGAAGCGCTGGCCCGCCGTGGCAGCTCGGTTTAGTCCTCAGCAGGCGTGAACGCCAGTTGGTCGGGCTAGAGGGTGGGCGCTGGGGCTGGCGGGCACTCCAGCCTGCGAGCTGGAGCCCAGGCGAGGCCGCGGCGGGCGGGTCTGCGTTCGGGGTGCCGCCGCCGCCCCCAGGTCGGTCTTCTGCCGGGATTGTGTGCGCTACTCCTGTTGTGGGAAAGGCGAGGGTGGCAGCGGTGGGCGTGACGGAGTGGGCTTCTGGGGCTTGAGTTGGGAACTAGTGAGATATATTCTCCCTCGCTGGTGTTCTTTTTAATTTTTTTTTGATTCATTCCTATAACGAACGCACCAAGACAACAGTGGATATAGGCGTGTCTCTGCCAGCTTTTCGTGTTGCTACTTTCTTTTCGTTCCTAAATTTCCTCTGAAACTTTCTTTTTCTGCCAGTGGGAGAGGGATCTGGAGCTGAGTGCTCCCAGTCTGTATTCCAGCGCCCTGCACAGTTTGTAGGCACGAAGTAGGTGTATAGCAACTATATAACAGGCACTATATGTGAAATGATTGCAACATCGTTTTTATTCTATCAGTTGTGGTGGTCATAGTGTTGATTTTTTTTTAAAGATTTCTTTTAAAAATCCCTTCTTAAAGCAACAAGCCAAAAATGAGACGTAAACTAAAACCCTTCTTTAAGTTTCTTGTTTACAAATAGTTGTGTCTCGTCATACTTAAATTTAAAACCAGGAACTATGCCTTCTTTCTTTATTTTTCTTCCTTTTACCCAAATACTTTCTGAGAATATAGTCCGTGTATACGGGGTCTGCTTCTCAAATACCGTTATTGACAGGACCACACTATAAACCTTGTAACTGATTTGGGGGAATAAAAGAAACCTGTCACACCTCTTAGATTGTAAGACACATAATCTAATATCAGAAATAGTAAAATGTGAAAAAACTTACGGAAACATGTCGTTGCTAAGTTCATTATAAATAATTTACTTAGTCATGGCAGCATTTCACACACTTGCCACCTGCTTATATTTCTTTTGGAGTGTCCCTGATGTTGCTATCCTAATCTTTTTAGTCTTTTCAACTGCTCATTTATTTCCCCTTGCTATCTTCCTGCCATGTTCTATATTTTATTTTATTTTGCCTTACTGGGGATGGAGGAGCTACGTTCCCAATCCTTTTTATTTTTTTATTTTGACATAGGGTCATAGTTGCCTACGCTAGAGTGTGCAATTTGCCTCAGCCTCCCGTACTTGGGATTATAGGCATGCACCACTACACCCAGCCACTAGCCACATTTCAAGTGCACAGTAACTACATGTTGTCAGAGGCTTCTGGGTATCCAGCACAATACATAACATTTATGTCATTGCAGCAAGTTCTGTTAGGTATCACTGGCGTACACTATTTGAAATGGTATTCTCTAAAAGCCAAAGATTTTGTTTTCTTTTTTTTTTAAATTCTGGCTAGTTTATTTTTTTTTGAGAGAGAGAGAGAGAGAGAGAGAGAGAGAGAGAGAGAGAGAGAGATTTTAATATTTATTTTTTGGCGGACACAACATCTTTGTTTTTATGTGGTGCTGAGGATCCAACCCGGCTGCACGCATGCCAGGTGAGCGCGCTACCGCTTGAGCCACATCCCCAGCCCCCAGAGATTTTCTAATTGCCATCATTTATTCAGATTTTCAAGACATATAAAACTTGATGAGATTGGTTTTAGAGAATAGGAACATTCTGAGATAAAAAAAAAAAGGAGAGCTCAATTTGGGGGAGATTGGCTGATTTTCATAGCAGTTGATATTTTACCTTTAGGAAGGTGTAACAGCTTGAGTTATGAGGCTAAGATGGAGGGTTGAAGAGAAGTGTGGGTATGGAAGTGTGTGATTGTGTATAGGTATTTACATGAATATCTGTAAGTATGTGTGAGAGGAGAGGGCTAGTGACCAAGGACATGTGATAAGAAAATATGGAGGGAGCTGCCCTTAGTTTGGGTCATTTTTGCAGTAACCCCAGGGATTGGTGATTGGTAAATTAAGTTCATAGAAGGATGGGAGTCTTAGTGCTCAAAAGGCAACACTGAAGCAATTGGCCATAGAGTGCAGAATGGCAGGAGAGGTGCCATGATTAGGAGGGGGCTAATGATTCTGATACAGTGAGTGGGCTTGAGACTTAAGTCCCAGTGAATTCCCAGGTACTAAAAGCCAAAGCAGAAACTCACTGGTGGTGCCCTTGTGTGGGAAGAGTTATTGATAATTATTGATGGGCACTTTTGTTAAAGTGTGATAATGGAGAATCAATGACTAGAATCCTCATTTCAAGAATTAGGCATTCGTGGGAGAAAGTGCTGACTCATTGCTTACCAACTTAGATATACTTACCATTTCTAAGTTGTAGTGACTTTGTAAAATGGACATGATACCTGTTTTGTAGGGTATGAGAATTAAATAATAAGAATGCATGGGGTGATGTGCCGAGCATACATATACTCCATATATGTTAATGAAATGAAAACCATTAATAAAAACATCTGATATTGACAAAATTATTAATATGAGGACAATAATATTATACATCCTCTATTACTTTGCTTCTAGATTTTCCTGGAATTGCCTTCTTTGATCTTGTGAGCAAGGAATAGGAAGAGGATTTAGTTTTAAAAATTTTCACTGATGTAAGAAAATTCTCTCAGTTAATTTGGTAGGAGTATGTTATGGTTCCAATTTAGGGCTTTGGTAATCTTATCGGATGATTTACTTAACTGGTGGCTCTGCTTTTCAGAATTTAGACTATTTAGTATTGATATTTTAGTTTTGATGTTGTCTTATCCTTCAAATGGAAGGAAAAGAGAGAACTTTATTGTGGGACTTTCTATTGTCATGTACTTCACACAAAATATACCATTTATAGGAAAACTAAATTTTCTTTTTAACCAAAATAATATATGTTCACAGATAGATAAAATGGTATGAAAATTTTCTTTATTAAGATAGAGACTTACATACAGCCATAAGAAATAATAGAGATCTTAGATACCCTTTACCTACTTTTCCCTGATGTTGACATTTTGCAAAACTTTTGTACACTATAATCATCAGTATATTCACAATTCAGTCCAATTAACTTAGGTTTTCCAAGATTTGTGTTTATGTGTATGTGTATTTAGTTTTGTCTTTGTGTGTTTGTGCTGCTATAACAAACTACCATAGATGGAGTGACTTACAGGAATTTGTTTATCTCAGTTAATGGGGACTGGGCAATGCTAGATGGAAGCAATGACCCTTTTCATTCTGGTGAGGGCCCATTTCCTGGTTGCTAGACAGTTATCTTATCTTCATGTAGTAGAAAGGTGAGGAACTCTTTTTTTAGGGCACTAATCCCATCCATCTGACCACCTACCAAAGTCCCCACCACCTCATATCATCACTTTAGGGGTTAGAGTTTCAATATATGGACTGAGAAGGGGGAGAAAACATTCAGACCATAGCAGTTCTGTACACTTGTATTATATGGGTAAGTTCTTATTTCTGCCACAATATTTAAGATACTAAACAGCTCAAAGAGCATGAGGCCCTTTTATAATCCTAGCATTCACTTCCAGTAACTCTCCCTTCATTCTGGCAACCACTAATCTGTTGTCACCATTTAAAAAACAAAATTGTTATTTCAAAAATGTTATGTAAATGAAATCATATTGTATGTAACCTCTTGATTTTTTTCTACTCAGCATAAAACCCTAGAGACCTATCCAAGTTTTGCATATCAGTAGTTTCTTTTTATTACTGAGTATAATTCTATAATTCTGTGGAATGGATACACCAAGTTTGGCTTAACTTTTCTGTATTGAAAAATCATCTGGTTGTTTTGTGTTGGACTATTGCAAATAAAGTTGCTCTGAACATTATGTATGGGTTTTGTATGAACATAAGTTAATTTCTCTGAGATAAATACCCACATATGTAATCATTGAGTTGAATAGTAATTAGATGTTTAGTTTTATAAGAAACATGTAAGCTTTTCCAGAATGGCTATATAATTTTATAGTCCCACTGGCTTGTGATTCAGTTTCATAATAGAATTCACCCTTTTAAAATGTATATTCCAGTGTTTTTAATATATTTGGTTATATGAATATTCAAAATTATAGGACACTTTTATCATCCCCAAAATAAACCTCACTTGTATTAGCAGCCATTCCCCATTGGTTTTGCCCTCATCCTCCAGCAGCAGCCACTGAGCTGCTTCCTATCTGTGGATTTGCCTTTCTGGGTGTTTCATAGAAAGTGAATCATCTAATATGAGATCTTTTTGTAATTGGCTTCTGTCATTTAGAATAATGGTTTGTCCATGTTATGCATCTATTAGTACTTTGTTCCTTATGGCTGAATAACATTCCATTATATGGACATACCACATTTTAAAAATCCACTCATCAGTTAATAGATATTTGGATTATATCTACTCTTAGGCTGTTAGGAATAATGCTAGTTTAAGCATTTGTTTTAAATATCTAAGTTTTTCTTTAGCAGAATTTCTGGTTATATAATAGCTCTTATGTTTAAATTTTGAGATACTGCCAAAGTGTTTTCAGAAGTAATTGCACCATTTTATAGTCTCACCAACAAGGAATGAGGATTCTCATTTCTCTATATCTTTGCAAGCACTCTGTTATGTGTGAAACAGTGACAGAAAATTCAGAGGTGAAATGATTGGGTTATGAGAGCCTTAATCTAATCAATGCATTAATCCTCTGCTGTGGATTAACTGGTCAGTAACTGCAGGTGGGTAAGGAGCGACTGCAGGAGGCAGGTCACTGGGGGTGTGCCTTTGGGGTTTATATTTGGTCCCTGGTGAGCAGAGCTCTGTTTCCTAGTTTCTGTGTCCTGAACTGCTTTCCTCTGCCCTGCTCTTCTGCCATGATGTTTTGCCACACTGTGGGATCCAGAG